CCACCGTACACCGCCCCACTAGACTTAAGCCACCGCGGTCGCTTTTTCCTTGCTGTCCTCGATAGCCTCGATCCGTGTCTAGGTGGCTCAGAGACGGGAAAACGCGATAGATAATTCCCTAATATTCAGGTCTCTGGAGATTCTATGAGGAGCAAGATGTCTCGCTGCCCTGGAGCCTGAGCCCCTTTGTCGGGCTCTAAATCGCGTTGCCACTCCGTCTCTCTCTCTCCTCCCTCCCTCTTCTCACTCCCTCCCTCTTCGCCCTCCCTTCTCGCCCTCCCTTCTCGCCCTCCCTCCTCGCCCTCCCCCCCTCCCGACCTCCCTTCCCTCCTTCCCTCCCTCCTTCCCTCCCTAGGTCGCGCGCGCGGTCTGCTCGCTCACTCTCGCCCGGGGGAGTTGTGGCGGACCGTATTAGTGGAATTGAAAGAGCCCGTCTAGCCGAGGGAAAACGCGTTTACTTGGCTGCTTATTCTTCCGCCGCTCTCTTGCCGTTCCCTCCTCCCCTCCCCTTGTAAATAATTTCCGAATGATGAGTCTCGCACGGCCCCTAACTGGCTCGGCGCGCCCCGCCACCCGCCAACGCCAACGCTCTCTGCCGCTCATCACCTTCCTCTCCATCCGTCCGAAGTTTGCGAAAACACTTCCATGCTTCTTTTCTTGGCACTCTCCAGTTCATTTTCAATTTTACCCTTAAGGCTGGGTGGTAAGGGCGTTCTGCTCTTCGCACACGCCTTTCGTTGGAGGCTTCACCTACTTTTGCATGGTCTTATGCGTTTTCTTACATATTCACGGAAGCCTCACCCCTGTCTTTTACCTTTTGAACGTTTTTGAGAGGTTCTAGGTGCTTATTCACGTTTTGTCATTGGATTAAATTTTTCTAGTATTCCGGAAACATTTAACTTCGATAGTGCCCAATAGAAACTGTGAGCATCAACATTTAAAAATGCACTCGATTTTCCAACATTTTCTTTAAAGTGTGCACAATGAGCGACTTTGACAAAAAATTGTTTTTCGTTTCTAAATACCTTTTTCTTCTCCTCTGTTTCAGGCTGCCATCGCCCCCAGCCATGGACCGCGAGGTTCCGGCCCAGGACCACTCTCACCACATGCAGCACCACGGCGTCCTGTCCCCACATCTCTCAACTAATGGTGAGCGCACACGACTTCCCCTCTGCTGTAATGCACATTTTGTAGGAAATCAATTCAAATAAGTGGCGGAAATACTATGGAATGGCTTTTACCGTAGGAATTCACACACAGGCATATACAGACACACACAAACACGCACACTAACGCACACACCCACAGAGAGAAAGAGAGAGAGGGAGAGAGGAAGAGGGGGGTACGGTAAGAGGAGACTAGACGGGGAACCAGAGGGAGCGAAAGCGCGGGCTGAAGTGTGCGCGAGGGCGTTCGCTTCGGGTCGTATACTTGTTGAGCGTATACCCCCTCCCCTCTTCACTACCCCGTCTCGTACTTCCATCCCTTCCGCCCCGGCCCTCTTACATTCCCTCCTCTTTCGTTTGGGCGTACCCCTTTTCCGCCTGTCCCCGACTGCC